AGTTTTGTTCTTGTTTGAAAAACAGCCCTTTTTCTGGACAACATACTTCACTAACTATAACTCCAAAGAAAGAAAAGACATGCACAACATGTGGTTGGCGGCCTTGGGGCCACAATAGTCCACATCAAAAGAAAGAAAAGCGAGAAGAAACTTGCGATCCAACAGATAATTAGGCACACTCTCACCCTGCCCCTCGACCGATCGCGCGCTCGTTTCACGTTTCGTCAACTATTACTATACTACATATAAAATACTTGCGATGCTATCCGATTTGAGAGAAAAAATTAATTAACAAACGCGCGTAGTCTTACCTGGATCAATATACATGTCATTTACAACATTGCTAATACACTCCAACAGTAAACAATGGGCAAACGTACACTCCAACAGTAATTATACATACTAGTTCTAGAAGTTTCTATTTTCATTTGATAGGATAGAGTGTCTGCTGACCAGCTTATTAGCATTTCAAAACTAATTCCTCTCCAAACTATTTTAAGTATGTACTCTCCGTATGGGCCTGTTGCAAATGAGGAACTAAACCATGAGGAGAGTTCTTGGATATTAGGGATGAAGTTGAGTCCTGCAAGGATGAAGAGGAGACCGCAGCAGGTGCAACTGCAAGGGCCAATTACTGGGGCAAAGCGAAGAAGGTCGTTAGGAAATTTGGTCTTGCTTTTGGGCATGGGCCATTTTGTCTCCATGTTTGAGCCGATGGACGATGCTTTTGAAATTGTAAGATTTTCGAAGACGTTAGCTGGATTCCCCGGTGTCATATCCGTCCACCGCGCGTTGCCAATTTTCTCCTCCATGTCAGTGCACAAGTATCGTTGGAGAGTCTGGCTGTCATAAAGGTAGCCGAGCAGGACTTTCGCCTGCTGACTCGCCTTCCCAATCAATCGCTTCAGAGCCACCACACCATTTAACTTGATTATCGATTGCGAATGCTCCGATCGAAGAAAATTATCTTCACAGACGAACTTCTGCAACGCGATAACAGCTTCCAAAGCCACTTCGCTATGCTTGTTTCTAATCTGCGCTACCAGAGATTCAATCACTCGAATGTCTCCTGCCGGAAAATTCCTAGCCAGAGACCCAATCGATCTGACAGCCAGAGTCTGCAACTCAGGACCCTCTGATTCTTTGATCACACTCAATAGCTCATCAATGACGGCTCTGACAACCGGTAAATTAGTCTGAACCCCGATGCGGGAAGCCCTCAATAGATGAACGATTGCTGGAATTCCGCTACCGGTCATAACAGCCCTCACTCTCTCTTGGTCATCTGAGAGAATATAAAGCGCACTAGCCGCGCCGCAATTTGCGCCTCTGGGTGGAATGTATCTCTGAGAAGCTTTACCAGAAGAGGGATTCCGCCTTCTTCCTCGATGATTCTCTTGTTCCTCTCGTTTACTTGTGCAAGCGAAGCAAGATTGTTAGGGGCCTCGATGCGATTTTTCAGGTTACCCACTTTTAGGGTGGCGATGAACGACCAGACCCATGAAATTACCGGATCATGGATTCGATTGGAGGCAAGGATAAGGATAGATTCCAATCGCCGGTAGCGCAGCCGATGTATGGGTCGAAGAGGCCGAGCAACCAATCCAAATTAGCAATTGAAGATTCCAGAAGAGTGAATATTCTGGAAAACTCCGTTGTAAAGTTGTCGATGACGAACGGGCAAAGTAGGGTCCATCGCTTGCACATCCGGATCAGGGTCAGTGCTCGCTCGAGGTTTTTGGAGACTTCAGCGACTACGCAGACAATCAGCCGGTCGTATAGGGTATGAGCAGCGGCGATGTAATCGATCAGATGCTGAAGCATCCGCTTCAACCTACCCACACCCACTAAGCACACAACTCGTTGGCACTCTTCCCTGAACGAGTTAGCCTCTTCAACCGCTGAGCTAACTCGTTCAGCCATCGAAATCTGGATTCGCCACCATAACCTCATCCTCCCTTAAGTTTTCCTTCGCCAGCCCCATACTTGCATCACCAGGTAATTTCTTCCTTTCTTCTCAAGTTCTGAAGTAATCAATTTTTTCTGAATTTCCGTTGGTCCACTTTAAATAAAATCTCGCAACTTCAGGATATCAACTTGCTCTCCAATCCAACAACCAAATAGCTTCCAGACAAAAGCGCTTTTGTTTTGAATTCAGAGTAATGATAGGACGACGCCGGGGACGAAATTGGGAGACGACAAGTATTGTAGGGGTTAAATTAGTAAAGATTCATAACCTCCTCCTCCCTTGACTTTTCCTCCGCCGGCCCCATACTCGAATCACCAAGTAATTTCATCCTTTCTTCTCAAAAAAATATAAAATTAATTATTTAAAATGTGATAATAACCTCACCTTATAAACAGTGGTACTACGGCCGCATCTTGCAAGCCTGCTATACTTCCTTTATCAAATTCCCGTTAATCTCCCTGTTTTAAATTTTCTTTTCCTGAGAATTTTTATTGTTACCCCAATCTTGGTACCATGCCTTAGACAACCAGGCTCTTCAAGAAACCTCTGGAACGCACTGATATCACCAAGAGGCTGGAATGGCGATCAAAGGGTCTGGAATTCTTTCCAAATTTCAACAGAGGCCATACCGTAAAATTGAACATTTGGTATGAGGGTTGGGTGTGGCCAATGGTATGTTCAACTAGGAAACAGAGGTACAAAAAACCTGTTTTCTCTAATGGTTGGATACCCTTTGTTGACCGGAACCGCTTAGAAGTCGGAGATGTTGTGGCACTCTACAAGGAAGAAGGTGAAGCAGGATTCTGGTATCGAATTGAGATGGACAAACCAACCAGGGCACCTTCAGTTGATGGGAATTTGGGTGTTTCAGTCCCCAACAAGGCTAAACCCAAAACAAAATTCGGTAATGCATTCAATAACGCCAAGAAGATAAATTTGGGATTGGTCAGCCCCAGCGGTTATCAAGAGGAAACTGTTCTGAATTTAGATTTGACTCTGGCGCCACCAGGAGAGTTATCAAGCTTTGGATCGCATAAATATAAATCTATCTTTCACCATAAAGTTCTTTTCTGTTTGAAAAAAAGGATAGGCCTTCTATCAAAACAACATATGAGATGGCCAAGAAAGGGTCAACAGATGTAGTCCAAAATTGTCCAACTTTTCCTCGCTAAACAATTGAAATAGAGGCACTCTCACTCAGCCTCTCGAGTCTTGACCGACTGCGCGCGCCCATCTCGTACTATTCATAAACTACTACTTCATACTCGCGATTTGGGAGAAAAATAAATTAACAAATCGCGCGACACGAGAGAAAATCGAACGTCCTTCACCGACTTTTTCTTTATTATAAAATTAAGTACTTCCTCACCAATAAAGGAGAACTACAGAATCAAAATCGAACGATTCCATCATAGAATTACAAAATTCGAACAAAAAACTGTTAAAATCGCGCGATCTTAGACGAGCTTCTCGCCTCTGCTATATATATTCCGATTATCCGATCCAATTTGCTCGAGTTAAAAACAGAGTCACACAACAACACAAATATATTCCATGGCTATATTTGCCAAGTGTCTTAGCAAGACAGATGTTGGGAAGAGACTGTCTGTTCCCAGCAAGTCTCTCAAGTATTTCCCGTTATCCGGCGAACATCATGCCGTTGACTTCAAGGTCAAAGAACAGAACGGTCGGGTCTGGACATTCGGTGTTAACCCGCAAGAAAAAGCACCTGGAGCCGGTTCTTACCAAGGGATGGCGTAAGTTTGTTTGCGCCAAAAAGCTTGCTCGTCAAAAAAAGCTTGAAATTGGGGATAAAGTAAAAAAATTAAGTGAAAAAGTATTTAAAATTATGTAATAAGTATTTGTTGGGAAAGATTAAAATATTTTAATTTTTAAAGGAAAAATTATATTATTTTAATTTTTGAAATTATTTTATTAAAATAATATAA